TCTTTTGCCGACGTAACGGATATTTATCTTTAAAAAGGTACCCGTAATGTGGGGTGCCTTGGAACGATATTTGAATAGGCAAGCCGTATCGCAATTAACATTTTAAAAGTAAGATTTTCGTCGATGCGGAAATTGGGTTGTCTCTCTGTCATTGAAGAGCAGGTTTTTGCAAATAAGAAGCTCCTCAGTGGATCAAATTGAAGAAAATGTCTCCAACCGATTTCTTTCTCTCTAAATTTTAGTCACATGATTCATTGCTGAAAATTCTAGATAACCCTTAAACAAAGGTAGGTAAAATCGTAATTTTGGTGAAAAATTGTTCTATTTTTCTCCTGAGTGCAGAAAAAAAAGGAAATGGAACGCGTGAAATCGTTCTCTATTGTGACTAGACGATTTGGTCAAGACCTTTCTCAGTTGGAATCAATACTACTCTGGCGCGCATATGGCGTTAGATATAAAGCTTCAAACCAAGGGCCAACATCTTAATGGCGCTTTGTGTTTTTACACTTAACGAAAGCGATATTGTGAGAACATCTTTAATACTCAAATACGCATCAAAAATCGTTACCAAAAGGTTTGATTACCTTGTGAATACCTGATACATGCATGCTCTCACGAAAATCAACCTTGAAAAAAACAAAACAAAGCAAAACAAAAAAGGTGTCTTTCAATCGACATTGTACTTAAGATTAATGTATTGAAGTCCATGATATGAATAATTTCAAATGTTGAAGGGTCGAAAGTTTCGCGCCTTCTCGTATGAGTTTGCATCTGGATCTGGATGAAACCCTTCTGAGCAACATTTTGGCCAAATTACTTGATTGTTATGTTTGTTTTTTCATTAGTCTGCAAACTGCGAAATAACTCTTCCTTCCTCACCCACCAAGTCTCTTAATGAATGGGAAAGGTGCTCTATGCCTCAAAAAGCTTATACATGATTCGTTCCAGTTGTATTTGCGGAAGTTTGGGTTCCATTGCGGTAACTTCGAACGTAAACAAGTCTCCAACTCTGCTTCTTAAACTGAGGAAATTCTGTCTGTGTTCTATATGAGAGGAAGTTTATTTGACATTTAAGTGTAGTAAACTTAAAAGAACGCTTAGCAATTATAACCTTATGTTATCATATGAAGATATGCAAAGTAATGTTTCAATATCGGAGTGTAGGAAGTAAGAGAGACGGTATACTTAAAATTCGCAGAGTTGGTTATTAAAAATATAAATTATGATTTGGTTTTCAGTGAAATGGAGGAAAAAAAAGAATCTTGTTGCGTATTATGATGTTTTTGGTGTAGAAATCCCAACATAACAGGAAAAGTTGTATTGAAATGGCGGCAAAGGGGTTGAACTTGAACCTTCCCTACAAAAGAGGTCTAATATGATCTGAAGGGCAGTTGGAGGCGTAAATCGGAATATTACGTACTATGGTGTAAGGCGCGCAAAATTGCTTTGGTCTGATGACTGAGAAAATGTTGGTAGGAAGTCGCATCTTTTCATCTTTCTTTCTATAACAGCATTATAGAAATGGGCATTTCATATCTAACAAATCTTCTACAAGGGGTTTCATCAAAATTTGATTTTTTTTCTCATTTTTGATTGCATACTGGTACCAAACGTTTATCAGTAGCAAATGAGAACTATATTAATCTCATGGTGTGTCCTTGAGGGCGAATATTACGTGGTTGCTGCCACGCATGTTTAATGTATGAATTTGGTCAATTTTGGCGATAAGGGCCATTATTAAAGTACTTTCAATCGAGTGCCGAAAAATTAAAAAACAAAGTAATCCCAGCGGCAAATCAGAACAAAGGTTAGCATTATTGTTCACCAATCAGGAATCAAAGTAAAGACAAGGAAACTGCTTGAAGCGCGGGAAAAAAATCCAACTGACTAATTGCAAGTCACAGTTGTTTTTAGTTTTGCATCTGATAGCTTTAGTGGAAGTTTCGAGTTTTTTGCGCCAATCACAGAGCAAAGTTGACTTAACCCCGTAACTCTTAGAAGTGATTAACATGTAATTTCTCCTTGTAATATCCACACATTATCCAGCAAACTGGTAATGGGAATACTTAAACTTATCAGGTTGAAGTTGTTCTTTTAATCTAACACCAAATTTTCAAAACGAATTTATAGGGAAATTTGTAGCAGCTAGAGGAGAGATTGAACGATCAGATCTTGGGAGTTAAAGGGTTAAACCAAAGCAATCTTGGATTACTTTCGACATTCAATTGAAGGTAGCTTTACAAATCATGCTTACACCTACCTCCAAATCAAAGAAATATGGCATAACAAGAGAGGTTTGAAAGCTCCCGTGGGGCAGAGAGAATTTCAACAGGAAACAACCGAGAACGGAAGTGGAAAGCGGAAAAACATCAATACATAATCATGGTCCTTAAGGGGGTCTCCAATAGGGTTCTTCAATCCCGCGATCCCGACTAAAATTTTCTTTCAATCCCGTAATCCCGATGGTTTACACAGGCGAATCCCAATCCCGTTCATGAATTTTTTTCTTAGTCCAATACCAAAAAAGGGCCCACCAGTTAAGAGGTATTCATTAATGCGAGGATCGCTTTGATATTCGTTTCTTTAACCGCAATTCACATTGATATGATTTTCATATATTTGCAGTCAGTTATTCACCACTTGGAGGGTTTATTTTAAACCAACATCACGACCAGTTCCAAGTTGGCTTGTTAGCTCAGTTTGTAGAGCGCTACACCGGTATCGCACTGGTGATGGGCTCAAATCCCGTACGGGCCTGATTTTCTTTCAGGGCTTATTTTTAGGACTAGTTAAGTTGTACTCATAACTGCGAGGATCGCTTTCATAGTAATTTCTTCAACTGCAGTTCACATATAAATGATTTTCATATATTGGCAGTCATTAAAGGGGCCTTTTCGGTGGGTGATGATTTTCTCAATCAGTATTGATCCGTTTTTTTTTCACCAAAAAGATGTTACTGTTCATTTTAGAAGTTTTCGAAGTTTTGCACGAATAACGTACACTAGCCACAGTCACGACTTCCTTCTGTTTAACTTCGATCACGGAAAAGCGTATTAGTAGAGACAGGTCAATATCAAAGAGACGAATAACAATGTCAACAAAAGCATGAAAAAACAAAAGGTGACGGCAATCCCATAGTTCCATAACAAGAAAAATAAAGAAAAATTAACTCAACAAAATTCTGCTGTTAAAGTGAATACTTCTTCCGAAGCGAGAAACTCTTCCGAAAAGAAAATTCGCCTCTCGTTCCAAAGATGGAATCCCGCCAACGTCAAATGCGGTCTCGTCGTGGGCCGATTCTTCATCACTGCGCGGGGAATCGTACTCTAACATCCCATCTTCCTCTTTGTCTTTTTCTTGCTGCTCCTCGAGGTCAGAGCGTTCGAGGCTAACCGGTTCACCCGGCTGAATCTCTCTCTGATATAGGTACGATGGGAGAGTTCCAGCTCTTGCCATTGTTGTCTCCTGTTTGACAGAACACTGACGCACGGCAGCACCAAGTGTTTGCGCTCAGTCCCTTATCCTATGTACGCCTTGTGGTGCCATCGGCACAGGTGGTAACGGTCGAACTACTGGTATGGCTGACAGGATCACAGCTCGTTCGGGTTCAGCATACCAAGACTTCAGATTTGTAAAGTAATACGCCGCCTAATGGGTTGTCCTCTTCAAGCCTTCCTTGGCAGCGTTTCCAAAGTTTCTCGGATAGTTCAACATTGTGCAAAGTGGATCTTTGTGGTGCACAACCGAGTGAATATTCTCCACGTCTAGGGTCATTTCGGGGTAGAAACTTCCTAACTTCAGGAGTAGCCTTGTTTCTTAAAGTTTTCAAAATTGCCAGATTGCCCCTCTCGCTTTCACCAATTAGCAAAACATGCTTTGAGACTTTTGCCGACGTGAACACTGTCCGGTTATGTTATAACCAAAGACAAAGACGGGTGTCTTGTTCCCTTTACCAATTCTTCTACGATATCTGACACAGCCTTCTTGGGTTTCTTCTATAGGTTTTCTAACATGGTAACTACAAAAAACGTAACTTACCTAACTGTTTCCTTGAGAGCCTTTCAAGAGACCACCTTTTTTGAAAGCTGAGCCCGAAATTTTTCTTTCTGTAGAAATAAAAGACTGCCACACAACGTATTACGTCCACTGTATCCGAGTCCGACTCATCGTTTTCGATAGTAGCTGACAGCCTCTATTTTTCTCGCACCGATTATTAAATTATTCGGTCACCAAGAAATCAAAGGTCACTATTACAGGACAGGGCATGGCTAAGAATTTCCAGATATCACCAAGGGGTTGCAAAGAAAAAAGTAGCAAAGGGCAAAGGTTGTGTACCTGGCACGTGCTTCGATAAGAATGTCAACCTTTGTGCGGCTTTTTTTTATCCTCCCACTTAGGCGTTTTTGGGGGATAGAGTTTCACTTTCGCGCTGTGTGGGTAGAAGTGAAACGCGATCGCCTGAAAACGACTGCGTGGGAGGCTAGACTTTTCTGGACTTAAAATTCGCGTCAACGGACTCCCCGGCTCTCGGTTCGTTAAGGTGATTATTTCCCGAGTCCTGCCCCTCAAAATCGCCGATTCCCGAGTCCCGTTCATAATAACCATCCCGCATCTCGCTCTCCTCTTTCTCCAAATTCCCGGACCCGTAAAACCTATCGGGGACCCTCCCTCAAGAATGGAGACGATTCATTAGCAATACAAAGGAAAAACATTCAGTGCACTTTTGAGCTCTTTTAAAAATGTATGTCTCTTGCACAATCTGGCGTAAGATTGAGCGCTTTCAAATGTGTGCATTAGTGTTCTGAATTGAAGGCAATGCACCACAGAGAGGCAGGGTAAGGAAGGGGGGGGGGGTTGGTCAACGATTGTTTTTTTTTAGTATGCCGTCGAACGTATGAGTGTATGTTTGCGACACTATTTTCACAGTTTGCGCCGAACTTTAACCAAGCCCCCTAAAAGCGCATACTCTATGATATTTAGCTTCTCAAAAGTCATGGGAGGAACTTTAATCAAGTTTATTGATTTATTTTAGTGTTGAAAGCGTAAGTACAATTTTAGTTCTTTGTGCTTATACATCTTTACGGAAACACTTATTACACAAATGAAACTACTCACACAGGCAAATTTTTCATCATGATATATACGTGACTTGTGAAAAATCAGACTGGCAAAACATGAGCCAGTCAGCTATTTACCGGCAAAATGTATGGACTTGAGCCCAAAACCTCCCGCGTGGCTTATGGTGCTTCAGGCATCTTTCGAGTGGTTGCTGCTGGAACTGCAAAATACCTTGAAACTGAATTTTTCGATATTTCGGTGTGATGAGTCTACTGGGGGTTGAAGAGCTTTCTACCAGCTGAAGTTAACGTCGTTAACATAAATCTTGCAGAATATTCACTTGTCTTTCAATTTTTCAATGGTCAATTAGCTTCGTAACCATTCTCACAATGGTTGATAGTACTTCATACCGGATGAAGTTAAGTTGTAACTTAGTTCATTTTGCATTTTGACTTAGTTCAGAAATCATGATATATATAGTTAGGTCTTCTTTTTTGAGTTTTTTTCGATTGTGTATCGTTGCTTTTCCATACTGAAGGATCGCCATACTTAGCTTAACAGCCCGTTTAATCAAAACTTCAACTTAAAACAGTTAATAACCCTCTGGACACCGCAGAGTATTAGAAGTAGTCACAAAGGCTCGATAAACTTTTTAAGTTTTAAGTTTCTCCAAATCGACGTCCCACATGTTTTGTGCTCATTTGTATAAGTGCTTTTGTAAATCTGTCGATCCTGAAAGTCCATTTGCAGTCACCACAAACAGTGTTTGTGGTGACTGCAAGAGTTTGTGGGTTAGACTCGTGTGGTTCATACTAGCGGCTGCTGTCCGTGATAGACCGTCATTTCGTGTCCGTGATTGTCAGCCCCTCGGTTGTAATTTTCGTCTGATGCATTTAAAGCTTGGTGGCTACTGCTTATTTTTGCTGTATTCTTTTTCTTTTTCCTGAAGAGAAATGAAGGAAGATTTGTGCATGAGCTGGATTCAATACTACACAGCAGGATAAAGCATGCGTGGAGCTTTCATTAGAATCATTAAACCAGCGTAAAATATCTGGAGTACAGGGTGATAACATAAAAGGAAGACAAAGCTCCTGACGGGAAAATCATTAGTATGGATTTGACCAGATGGTCAAATTTACAGTCATGACAAAAGAATAGTCAATTTACTTATCTTACACAGTTTACATTAGTCTACCACGGTTTGGAATTTTCCCCTCAATATCGATCGCTGGTTCGACAAGCTTCTCTTCATTAAAAAAAAAAGGAAAAAGCTGACTAAATTTCTCATGAAATGAGTCTGACTTGGGAAGCCGCATATTTACATCTTATTTACAATTTTATTAAAAACCGAGATGGTCTTCCTTAGTGGTTTCGTAGAGATCTCCCGTCCCTACCGTACTTTTGATTTTGTGTAAATTTACTAAGATGTTTTCAGTCTCGTGAAAGGCGTTTTTCTGCAACCATTGATTATCAATATTATAGCAATTACCTACGTTTAGAGGGCTATGCACCCAAAATTCGTGTACTGATGCCTTTTCATCAACAGTATTTTTATTTTTAAAAGCAATAAACCGCACTTTGTATTGGTATAACAGCGTAATAACCCACGTGGGGTGTTAAGAGAACACTAGTGAAATTTAACCTATAGATATAAAATAACTATGGCTTTACCAGTGCAGTGAATCATTGGTTTTTGACCAATCAGGGAGCTCGTAGCATCTCAGTTATCTTATGAATGAACTTACACACAGAAGACGATGACAGCAATTAGAACAAGGACCAAAACTCCGACACAGACTCCGATAACGATCCACTTCCAGTCGTCATTTGTCTTCTCCGTGGTGGCGATGGTAACTGATCGAGTTGTTATGTTTGGAGGTGCAGTGGTCATATTGGATGTGGTCGTGGGTGAACTTGGGGTTGTGAGCGCGATAGCAGACTTGATTTCAGATATTGGAACTCCAAGCACTCGCTCCAGTTCTGCCTTGTTGTTTTTTATCACAGTTTCGAGGGCATTCACCGGAATGACGCCACCACTCGTAAGGTATAACGGTAGTAAGATGTAGAACGCAATCCTCAAGGAGTTGCCTTCCTCTTTCGGGAAGCCTGGTAGTAAATGAACATTATCTTTGGTAATTAAAGCTGCGGATCGCCTGCAAGGAAGTTAAGGAAATTGGTAAAAATAAGTACTAATCTTCAACACAGTGGAGAATGGATAGGCGTCTTTCGTATATTATACAATGATCATTCGGCGGAAGAAGCGCTTAACTGCCTTGTTAAGCATGGGCACAATATGGAACCTAATAGGTACTTTGCTTCTAATACACTGGAAGTTTTCATGAAAAATTTCTTCCTATTTCTTTAACACATTTTTAAGACAAGTACCTTCTCCTTTTGCTTGTTATCCCACATGCTGCCTTATCTTTTTGGCAGAAAGTGTCGGCTGATTTGGCGCATGTTGTTCTGAACTTTTCATCCACTGATGCGCTGTACTGTAAATTGCAAATAGAAACACAACAAGCACATGAGGTGGACAGAGTAATATACACCAGAGGCAGTTCGATATGACACCTTAATGTAAAACCATTCAGTACCATCCTACTACATATAAAAAGGAGACAAATAAGTAGGTAAAGTTATTCTCATATTGCCATCAGAAAGAACGGCTACGAAAGACAGCAACTCTACACAATCTTATTGGTACAGCAACAGCGTCCTCCACAGCAACTCAATTATCAGAAAAAAAAACGGAAACAACAACATGGTTTTAGTATTATCCTGTCACTTCTAAATAGCCCTCAAAAATGGGAGATGAACACCGCAAAGGTCTGTCGTTTGTATCTCGGATAGGAAGGTTGAAATGAAAACGTCCTTGCACTGTTGTTTACCTGTTTCTTTTCCATATTTTGTAGCGTAATTTCAATCGCATTCTCTTTTTCTTTTTCAGATGCTTCCTTTGGCGTTGGGACTGTCGGCTCCGGCGGTTTTTCTCCTGGTTTGAGGGCTAAATCACCAAACAGATCAAGGTTAAGTGTTGTAAGAGAATAACAGTTTGCGAGTCTCAGAGCCTTTGTGGGGTTGTTTGAATTTTTGACCCTTTTATTCTATACTGGTGGTTTTTATATTTCCCTGTTAGTTTTTTTCTCTGTGCTCGATTAGATTTTATTGTGTTAAATTTCTCATCATTGTAATAATAATCGATCGAAGCAACTGAAAAATAATGAGCCACTTAAACCAATTAAAAATAGTAATGATCAACAAAATCTGCTGAATTTAACTCATGCCGACATGGCAGGCATCGATTGACAATGATTTTCATTCATTGCTCAGGGCGAGTATCCCACGAAAATCAGTTAAGCGATTTCTCACAATGTAAGACCTTGACTTCTCTTCACGACGGTTAAGAGGTTATTCGTTACCACATGTAACGAATAATTCTGGTGTCGCTTCTCACCTGTGCACGTATTGTTTATGTAGAACAGTCCGCTCTGGCATTTGCATGTGTAATTACCCGGGATATTTTCGCAGATACGCGATTTGCCAGGACAACTGAATAATGATGAGTTTAAGCATTCATTGATATCTGAAAGAAAAAAAATCAAGTTCATGTTTTGTTTACAGTCGATAAAGTTCCTCAAGACAAAATATTACTTTTTGCGCTTAAGTCAAAGGACTCAAATTGGAAACGGCAGACATGATGGTTTGTAAAGTACAAATCGACTTCCAAACAGAACGTGTTAAAAACGTGTCGTCATTCGAACATGTTATTTTATTTTAAATTTGGCTTTGCATTCATGCATGCACGAGCATCTATGATGTTTTTGCATAAACCAGACAACAATTTCTGTTTTGGAAAATTAAACAAGATTTTACATGAGAAGATAGCAGAGAAATACCAATCATAACACCAGATCACTTCCGGTGATAATGATGGGAATGGGAGCTTAGCAGTTGAAATTTTACGAGGTAGCTCTTCTTGTTCACTGTTTGCAGGTCAAATTGAAATTTTTTTAAAGTTGGTTTTTGTGGAGGGAAGAAAAAGGAGGAGAGTAACGCTCGGAGCAAGAACGAGAACAAACAACAAACCAGAAACAAACTCAACCGGGGAATCGAATTCGGTCCACAGCGGTAGGAGACGAGCGCTCTCAGCACTGCGCCATTCCCGCTCTGCAAGAAGGATCTAAAAGTAACCAATTCTAACTCGTGAACCATGTGGTGTTTCTTGAAAGGGAAAATGGATTGCCGTTGGAATGAGGTCGATACGGACTAGTTTGATACTATTTAGCCTGTAGTAATTCTGAACAAGACTAGTTTAAGACTTATTACCAGAACAGGTAAAGCCATCTGCGTCGAGCTGATATCCTGGATAACACTTGCAATCGTATCCACCATCTTTATTCTCACACTTCTGTGTGCACCTGATACCGTCGATCTTGCATTCGTCAATATCTACGACAAAGTAAAAAAGGGTTGGATGGTTTTTATTATGTATATTCCACGCACGATGTAACTGTCCAAAAGCAACCTTGCTTCAATGGGCCTCGTCGGGCGTGGTATGTGTACATCTCAAAATTAAAACGAAAATTTTTATCGTTGTTTCCTTTGAGTTCACGATTAGTCTTCCACTTCCTTAAGTATACCGTTCCATTTTGTTCGCTCTTTCTTCCCATTTTGGGCATTTACCTTCTTGAAACGCTAATCTTTTGTTGTTTCTCGGCCTTCATCTTCAGGACAATTTTCATCGTCGTATAATTGCAATTTAGCATCTATAAGTAAGACCTTGCCAAGTATCCTTTTGATAGGCGTTTTCCTTCAATGGACGTTACGGATACGAAGACCCATTAAGCAATTGTTTAATCAGTGGCCCCTAATCGAGGCATCCAAAACTAAAATATTGGTTGTTGGTGTAAAATTTGAAATGTAAGTGCTCTAAAGATGCAATTTATTATTTAACTTACCTTCACATGTTTTGCCGTCACTAGCTAATTTAAATCCCGCTTTGCAGTCACAAGCTTGTATGTTTTTCTTTATAAAACAGATTTGGCAATCGCTGTCATTGCAAGGATTGGTTGCTGGAGCAAAAGATGGAAAGGATTCAGTCTGTTTAATCTTGTGTAAATGCTATTTTCCTGTCTTGAGCAGTATGTAGGATAATTTCATGTACATTTTTGTGGGAAAAGTAACAACTTTATCAGTGTAACCCTAATGCTTAGATCTCCATAGGTTTCTAATTACTATCAACCTTAAGGTGAGCTTTTGTTACAAGTAAAAATGACTTCAGTTGGAAGTTTTAAGGAAAAAATTTCATTCCAGAACAATCATGCATATAGGACTAATGAAGCGCGTTACAATTCAACTTACGTTTGCAGGCTTTAAGGTCTCCCGGGTCAACCTCAAAGAACTCATCGCAGTAACATTTGTAGCTTCCTACAGTGTTGTTGCATCGGTGCATACAATCATTAACGGGCTCACATTCGTTGATGTCTGAGGAAATAAATGAGTCATAAGAAATATGTTCAGCAAGAAACCAGATTGCGAAAATTATCGAGCTCCTTGTCTGAGAAAACGTTGCGTTGAAATGAATTCAAAATCGGTGAGTAACACTGTAACATGTTTGTTGATCATGTAAGTTATCGTGAATAAGCGACGTACGATTAGTTATTTCAGTCAGCTCTTCGAACTTCTTAGAATAAAAATACGCACCATATTTTTTCCTCCTAGCAATTATACAGTGATAAAGAAAGCTGAAAATTGAATGACTAGGCGTTATCGCTTCACTAAGCTTGTACTATTTGTTTGCTTGAAATTATTACTTTTTACTTAAAGGTTTACCTCCGGGTTTTTCAATCTCCGTTCAACTTACCATCGCAGGCGAAGCCGTTGCTGTTTAACTTGAAGCCAGATTTGCATTTGCAGCTATATGAACCAGGGTTATTGACACATTCCTGTTCACATTGGTTCAACGAGTTGTTTTTGCATTCGTCGATGTCTACATACGAAAAAAAAAACCGAAAAACTCTATGAAGAAACTTGAAATAATTGGCTCTGAAACACAATTATTGGAGAATTCGTAGTCTTTGATAAGGGTTATTTTGCCATAGACTCTTTGGAATCGCATCAGCATAGAATCATGGCGAATCATAGTGAAATTCATCATTAAAATAAACACTCCATCTTGCTACACTCATTAAATGTTATGGAATAGCGAACAATTCATTGTAAATCCAAAATAAAACAGAGAGAAGTAAAACATTTGTTAACCGCGTGGAACATAGAAAACAAAGATCAAATTCTACCGCGGGATGATTTGAACTTTGCAAAAATTTAAAAATAAAGTCTACATATTTTCTTACCAGCACATTTGATGCCGTTACCGGAATACCCAGTTGGACAGTCTCCACAGGTATAACCTGTTAAGTTAGCCGGCGCCAGTTTATCGGTACAGTTGACGCCCTTGAAGCAAGGGTTTCCGTTCACTTTGCAAGCATCAATGTCATTCTCACAGAACCTGCCGGTGTATCCCGGTTTACATGTGCAACCTTGGATTATGAATTTACTGTCATTATTTAACTTGTCTCCTTGCGCTGGTTTGACGCACTGGCCATTATTTTCGCAGGCGCACATTTTGATAGTGGGTGTGAAGCTTACGGAGGCGTTGAATTCGTCTGTTGCCGTGAACGTGAATTTGACCTGAAGGATAACACCACATCAATGTGTTAGCCCTTTAACGCCCAAGATGTCATTAGTATTTCTCCTTACTGTCCGCTATACAATTCTTATGATACTAGTTCTGAGTCTTTGGTACTGGAACAAATAGAAAATCCTCAAACTTATATTTTTCTTTATTCTCATCACCTGCCTGATTGATATTGTATTGATATTGTAAGGAGAAATTCTGTCTTGGTCACTCATGCGAGTTAAAGGGGTTAAGTTATGATAGGAATAAGAGTAGGTTTACCTTTTCTTTAGAAGTTACATTCCAAGTAAACTTGAGTAGAGTTTCGTTCACTGTGGTAAAAGTCGCTCCTTGTGGCTTTTTGATGACGTTAAACGCAAAGGAGTTGTTATCTTTGGCTGTGACGTTGACCCACAGGACTTCCCCAACTGTGGCTTCGATGACTGATGGAACGTAAGTAAATTTTGGTGGGAAGTTCGCTGTAGAATGATAACATTTAAGTTAAATTTAAGACTATAATTTCAAATTCTATCCAACCTTTTCTGTACGTGCTTTTTTTTAAAATCCTTGTTTAAGTGTTTAGAAGAATCTACTAAAGAACGACCACGTCTGACCCTATTACTGGAGCACTAAGCTGTTTTCCTTATTTATTACTCAAGTGGTTTGTATGTTTGGGATCATCTTTCATGCTTTTGCTATGACGAGAAAGTGGAACTGCTGTTATTGACCAGCTAAACAAATATGTGTACGGATCAGAACTGAGATGTAGCCTAGTGATTACCAGACATAAATGGAGATTATTGGCTACTCCGTTCTCAATACGTCAGACACTCACTTTTAAACAGGCCTAAAGCTTCGTAAGAACCCATGGTGTTGCAGATATGAAAACGGAATATCGTAGAGAAAACGTATCTGCGATATTCACCGTAACGGTAAATCTCAAGGGTATATTTTAGCGAACCCAGCCAGTTATCCTGAATGAAATATCATACGATTCCTTAGCTTACCAAGTTTTTCGTTCTCCTTTACTAACTTCACGTTTACGTCTTTGCTGTTGGTTCCTATGGAAACATCATTCGTAGAAGCAGCATCGAAGAGACACACCACGTCACCTCCACAAGCATCCTTAGCTGCCTGCTCAGTGGCATTGTCTGCCCACTTGATGGCCTCGACAAACATGGGCTTGAAGCTTGCATTGGCGAAAGTGTGAACGCCTTCATTAGGACCGTAAGTGAACAAAGACTCTTCGGCTGTTATTTGCCCTAATAAATTAAAGAGTAATTAGATTAAAATATTTCTATGATATGAATGTTTGGTGTGCTGATAAAATGATAACTAAATAGGACTAGAAAGCGTCAACGGGATGAAACCGCACATTTATACCAATAAGAAGACTTGTTTCTTTGATGGTCTAACTCATTTCTTCGTTGGTTTTTAACTTCGAGAAATAAAAGATTTGGCATTGTTTAAAAACCCTCGCTTTTTGTTAAATAGCTTCCATTTGAGACCCACAGACCCATCTTTTCGGTTATCTCTTTTCAAGTGTCTGATTCTTCCATTTATGTGGAAAACCAATACTCACACTTCAAACCGAAATCATAATGAATAGTAGAGGAACTGACGTTTGGACCCAAAGCAGTCCCATTCGGCAAAGTGTAGTCGTCATCTGGATTGTTATTGTAAGTTCCAAGAAGCCCTTTTGTGTTGTTAAGGAACTCGTTACTCAAGGTCACCACAAATGACATCATCCCCTTGGCCTCACAGAATTCAACGCCTGATCCACTCTTGAAGGTCACCTCAACGCAGCCAGGATTTTTTTGAGCCGCTCTCAGGTTTCCTCCGATCTCCTTGCTGATGTTTGTCAGACTATAGAGCCCGTCGTACAGTGTACCGTTGATATACATCTCCAATCCACCTTCACGTGGAGAGCAAAACATGCACAAAAGATAAAATGTTAAAATAGACTTCTGAGAGAATCTGGCGTACATGAGATATTTCCATTGCATTAAGATATGTATCCTGTCTTTTACTGGATCGATTTCAGCTTTTTAAGCAAAGACAACTAAAATGATTAATCGATGTGAATTGCAAAAATCTCACCTCCACTTTTGGCTCTAACTTCGACTTTACTGCTTCCATTTTCCTGAGCAGCTCCAGCAGAGAACACCGTAGCTATACTACGATTTCCAGGGGCCAGTACCGTTCTTGCTTGAAGCTTAAACGTACCGTTTTTGCCATCAACCATGGTGTATTCCCCAACACCGTTGAACGTGTAGTCCTTATCGTCGAGTGTTTTAAAGTGTGGATCTCCCCAAAACCAACCTAGAAAGAGAAGGCAGGTTTGTTAACTTGATGAAAAAAAAATCGTTACATCATGAACTTTTGTAAATACAGTCACACCTCTGGTAAATGGACCGAAAGAGGTTTCTGTGACCATTTCGGATAGTGTGACATTTTGTGCTTGTCTTGAAAAACCAGGAAACTTTGCCCTTTACACCCTAACATCAGCACGCATGTTCTCCATATTGTTTCCTATACATTTCCTAAGGTACCGACAAGGAGAATTTGTTCAACAATCAAGAGCTTATTGGGTGGATGGTCGTTTCCTGTATTCTCATAACCTTATTGTTTGATTAAATATACACAATATATCTTTTCCTGTCAACGAAACTAGTGACTTACGTCTTCGGGGAATAAAGAAACGTTCACAATCATCTGAGGGGCGTACATTGTCGTACAAATCACAGTTGAAAGAGTCGAAGCAGCATGCCTGTTTCGCTTCGGCATCATCCAGTAAATCTTCAGGCTTGTCTGTATAGAAAACTTCTAAACTTCCCGGATCATCACTTCCCGTAAGAAGCGCACCAAAGAAGAAATTCGAATAGCAACACTTTCGAAGGATAAATCCCTGTACAGAACTGTTGCTGCCTGCTTCCTTGTTGTTGAACGGGAAGACGAAAATGCTAACGAAACAAACGCTGTCTGGTTCAGTGGAGAAAATTAGATAGTAAGTGGGAGAAAAAATAACTTGGAAGATTGAACAGGGACAAGCTGGGATAAAGTTATCAGCGTTCGATATATCAGCTTTTAGATATTTTTCTTGCCAGTCGGACCACTTCCTGCATTTTGTTTCAGGGTCGTCTCCTGTTCTTTGTTCAAGTCTAAAGAAATACTCTCCATCATTGTCCGCATTTTCTCTCCTCAGGGTGAGACCCGTTATCTCTGGAGAAGCCGACCTAGAGAAAGAAACAGTCAGACCTCAAGCTATGAAGAGAGAACCGCGATTACGCGCACAGATTGATCAAATACCATCTTGAAGTAAATAGAAACAACCAATATTTGACAATTGAAGTAACAACAAATTAGTTATTATAAATCCAAAACCAAGCCTGTTTGTTCAAGTCATGCTGTAGATAGTCATAGCGCACGCTCATTGCACATAATACTACTCGCATTCATGAGGGTGCGCGTTTGAAAGTTTTCTTTGGAGGTAATTAAGATTGGTTTCTAGATTTGCAACTCATTGTTTGTTTGAAAGGGTTGTTGAAAGAGCGGTGCAAGATTCTTGGGACAAGTTCAGGGGCAAACCAATCCAAGTTTAGTTGTGTATTATGTAAAACTGGATTTAAAAAAAAAATTATCCGTCCGAGGTGGAAGTTAGGTCAATGCCAGTTAAAAGTTTAGGCAGCATATTTGTTGAACAAGCTTACCCTTCGAGACTAAAGAATCTCTCGACATCTTCCAGATTTCCATCACCAGCATTTATACCTGCTACAGGATAGCCGCCAAAATCTTCTGGATACAATTCACTGAAGAGAAAAGAATTTTCTTGTTAATTTGTTACAAGTGTTTGCGAACTACATGTGTCTCTTCACAGCGAGGAAAACATGTCACCTTTCGTGATAGGAGGTCTGAACGCTCGATAGACACCGCGGTAGCACGTTGGTCTCCGTATTGAAACTTAGAGATTACAGCCTTGTGTTGTATGGCCCCAATTTGCCCTTTTCCTCAACTAGACACATGGAATCTCTTTTTAGCAGGAGTTTTAGAAACGGTTTTTCGTTTTGTACTTACTAAAATTTCGGCGATGCCCACTGAAGAGAATTGCAAGGGTAGTGGTACTTCAGAAATGTGTAGGTTCCATCAGTGATGAGTACTGCTTGGAATGTATTAGTCTGAAATCCATAGAAAAAAAAACGCATTGCTTGTTGGCTCTTTGTTAAATTTTGTGTCAATAATATTTGGATTCCTTGCAAGAAGATTTTTTTAAAAGTGATGTCGACATCTGACCTTCACTTAAGTTTAACAATTGGTTTCAGCTATGCTATACGACGACTGCACTAACGTTTAAGTTTGATTTTCGTTTAAATGACAGGTCTGCAATTAATTAATCAAACTCTCTATGAACCGTTACGCAACATGGTATGTGGTGCGCAGTCAAAGCGAATTCGGTCAAAAAGTGCTGGCATTGACAACCTGCTGCAAAGGGAGGATAGTTAGAAGAACAGTTCCATTTTTAAAAAAACTTTTTGATTTATGGGTATTTCTGAAAGACTTACCACTCCTTCTTCGGCATCGCCCTCGGCTTCCTCTTCTGGACGAAGGCGTAACCAGGTCACTACGAGTACCCACGAAGCCTTGAAGTTCTGGAACTTTTGGTCGTTCGAATTCTCTTTGACGTCTTTACTAGCTTTGTCTAGAATATATGATGCTTCCGTGTAAACTTGGTAGAATACGGCGGAACGGTTTTTATAATCTATGTCACCAGAAAGGCAGTCCTGCTCACTGGAACAGAATGAGTCGTATATGTCGATTTTCGACCAGAAGGGGAACAACATAGGGACTTCGAACGGGAATTCTTCGACGTCAAAGGTTGGAACTGGGAAGTACCTCACATATTCTATATCGAAACGAATCATTCCATTGGCACAAATCTGAAAAAGGTTGTAAACATTTGTTCAGTTTTGGTCTCATTAAAAGGAAGTTGGAAGTTAACCTTTTGGCTGTGTTAAAACCCCCAAAAGGCGGATGAAAATGGTTTAAAAAGTAGACTCGTTTTTATTGCAGAGGATTTCGAAAGCTGCTGGGCGTGTCAAAAAATGTGCAGCACAAAGTTATACTATTAAAACGCAATTATTTTTGTTGCCTCCTTTGATAAGTCAGATCCATTAGAGGAACAAATTTTCTTGTCCCTAGATTGTCACCTGAGTAGAGATTCCATCGTATCCTTTGGTACACCTTCCAAAATTGAACATAAGTTTTCTTATTTTCATTTCATGTCCTTTTTTTTTTAATCTGCTTTCTATTTTTTTATTTCCGATTTAACAAAAAGCAATTTTCAAAATCTCCTTTTTGCTACTTTTTATAACCGCCAAAAATCACTACATTTGTAGTAACGAGGCCCTCTGGATTATTAATTTTCAATTAGGATTACACCTCTTCAGCAAAGGCTGGAATAAGTCATGATACTTACATACAGGACGTAGTGCTTGTCATCAAAGAACCAGATACCATAGTCGTACAATACTTCTTTACACAGCTCATCACGGATCAATCCTACGTCCATCTCCGTGTCATTCTGTTCTTCTCCGTAAGGATACATTTTATTCCAGAAACAGTCAACTGTGTGAAAAATGTTTGAGATTAGTTCAGAGGATCAAGTTCTCGGAGCCAAGTGGCCAACGCTGTAGCCAGAGGAAAACCTACATTTAGCATGAAAGGATATATTGCTAACTCATCCAGTACAGTGTAGCCCCCTTCCCACCCCTCCTCAGCCACTAAGCGACTTTTCACGAAGAAGAGTTTCATCGTAACCTTTTAATCTTCTGAATGCAGATGGGCACCTGGAAACACAACGCAACATTTCCTCCAATCGCGACTCAAACCCAAACCTTACATACGTAGTGCTCGGCGCGTTGGCCATGAGGATCCTTCATTTCCCACCACTCAATTAGATGAGGTTTAATGCAATGCGTTGTGTAAGCTGTTATATGCTTCAATCATGGAAATGTTACTGTAAACCGTTCAAGTCGTAATCAACTAGGAAAACTGTTGCTTCCCATTTGTTCGGTTGGGGTCCTTAAGCAAAGCGCGATATCGACGGCGAGAATCCCGGTGGATTGAAGAGATCGTAAGAGAAAACAACTCATTGCTTACCTGGTTTACTACAATTTTTTCCTTCGTAGGCTTTAGGAATTGGACAGACACAGAAGA